CGTTGGCTTGAAAAAAGCGAATTTAATGGAAAATTTCTATCAAGCTCCTGTTTCACACGAGATTGCAAGTTTGCAGTAGTAGTGAAGTAGAGATTATTTTTCAACAACTTAATGAAGTAAGGAAAAGTAACAGTTTACAAATAATCACATGAAAACCCATTTCATGAAAAAACAGCGCTGCGATGTAGGATGAACTTGAGATGAATAGTCCTCTGAATAAAAAGACAATACCTTACTTGCACCCACGATTTGAAATCATTAAGGGAAATGAAAGTTTAAATGTATAGAAAACGAAGAATAGCACGAGCCATGCTTAAGGTCTCTCAAAGGAGTCACCAACCAACTAATAGATCCAGTGCTTTAGTTCTGTTTCGTCCTAATAACCTCTTGTGCAGTTGAAACCAACTGACACTTCGATCACATGGAAAACTCTGAGCACCACTTATGCGAACGATTTTTAACGGATCACAGTTCAAACCACCGACAAGCATTCCGTTTTCGAAATCACAATGAACATAAATATAGTGAAAGTGAAACGTTGATGCGATGATCATGAGACGTGGTAAATTACCATCTACGATGCAGAAGGACGCATTCGAAAGTCACATCAACCACCTATATTCGCGAATAGAGTAATCCTGGTGCTACATGGTTCAGCCACCATGCACAAAACATGAAAGAGGCAACCACCATGAACGACGATCACGAAAAAAGCAAGAGCACAATATGCCAATGCTGGCACAAAACGAGATAAGCACGGTATGCAAAATTAAGAACATCGTCATATATATATGTATATGTATATGTATATATATATATGCACAACGTGTGGAATCGAACCCCGCTCCCATGGCCCACAAAACCTTCCCTCCATCCGGGGTCGACAAATTAGTATCAGAGTTGTCTGGGAGGTTAGCAACACTGGCTCAATACATCGACAGGACACCACAAGTCACTGTAAAGGCCAGATACGCATTCAATCACCTCCAAACGATGCTTAATGATGTCGAATACATGGCGCATTCCTCAGGGATTGATCAACACCGAGAGGTTTATTTTTATCCTTCATATATATGTATAGGTAATCTACTCGATTCTTAGATCAAGATTTCTCTGGGAAACACTCACATTTACTCCCAAAAGTAGTTAACACGAGGTTTATGTCAGTGTGATGACATAGCTGATTCTTCGCTTCTCAAATCGTATATTTCCTGTAATTTATTCAGTCTTCCACATATTCGGCCAATAACTCCATTGACAAGCTTCCCATGTAACTGCATCGAGTATAAAAGGAAATAACGTTGTTGTTGGGGTGCATTCTTAGATCTAGAAAGGTCATGTATAGCGAACAAATCATCTACACATGGGGGTCCATACTCAAGACGTGTTGACAACTCTATGTGGAAATCGGTCCATGAGTATATCATTAAGTCTATCACTATGGGAGACACTGGTGAATAACCTGTCGCTATCCTACTCCAGAAAAAGAGAACACCTCTGATGCATTTTCATTCCTTGACAGAGTGAAGCGCACAGGTAGACTCTGGTGCGCGTGACGGAGACAAATGGAGTTTGTTGATGCCCGACCAAGTTGGTTGATTTTCTTTATTGCACTATAGGTGATACACTACGGCAAAAAAAACAGTACGTTTATGGATCGAAAATATATTGACGATATCCCACCTGACACTTTCCGCTCGGTATCCAAAAGACATATTGCGGAGCTCTGTTGTAAGATTTTTGTCAACAGCCAATTGATCTACTGTCGGGAACGCATACATCAATTCGGGAAACTGCCTGATCAAGGAGGAATCACGGGCTGGATTGTCCAGTATAATGCCATCACCGTATTTCATCGATAGTGATTTCAGCATTTCTTAAAGTGATTATAAAATCATCAGATAAGAAACATCGCGTTTTTTGGTATTTTCATAATCATGCTAGTAATATACCTTTGAATAAAATTCAGTTGACAACTACAAGTGATGTGGAAACAGTGACAGTGTCGTCACCTCGACATATTCGCAACAAGGCCTAATTTTATCCAACACATGCGTTGAAATCAGTGCGTACGGTGCAAAACGCTCTTTCACAAAGACACATGGTATTACCATCATAAACAACAGTTTTCTATGCTACTACATTTGCACTATTAGAAAAGAGTTGACATAAACTAATAAATAGCAGTAAGATATCAGTAAGTCCGCGCAAATCGTTACACTTTGCAGTAACAATCACGTTCAAAAAGTATGGAAGAAAAATCTTTCGCGGGAAATCGCAGTGAAAACGCATCGAGATCAATGCGTAGGCTGGCAAATATTTTCAACCGAGAATCTAGCTCCTGAAACACAAAGCAATAAAACTGTTACTAAAATAAGTGCAACAAACTTGTTATCCTCGGAATGTTGTTGTTCGACGAACAAATGAAAGCTATCAGAGTTTCGAAAAAGTCCTGCTTTAATATACGAATTCCTTGCAACTCCTCAATGTTCCTCAGTTTAGCCATGAATGAATCCTGACCGCACCAACTATCCCACAATATATTAAGAGGAACGTCTAGCTATAATAATTCCTATAGAGATAAAGGTACAAATTAGATCGATTGTCACCAAAAATAGCATTTTTTCTTGGAAAAACTCAAGTAGACCTGAAAATACTCGTGAAGCTTCAGAGAGGCGTCGGTACTAGCACGGTTAGAAGTTCGTCCAAGACATCTCCATTCGATAAGAGTGTCGTCGAAGCGCCTTAGATAATAAAGAAGGCCGTCGACGACTCCATAATAAGAATCCCCGATTCTACGCCAGCTGAATAAACTGCTGCCAAATTAATCACAAATACCATTAAATTCGATCATACCAAAAAAAGATCACGTACCGGAATGACTGCCCGTTCATGAGCACAGCTTTCAAGTTTAGTTGCGATACAGAAGCGTTGAGGAATCTCATTCCATTTGGAGCCATACTGAAAAGGTGTGAGATATAATGAGCAATAACTATAAAAAGAGTATTACATTTAAGCTGTTAAATCTGTACAGATAACATTATGTTAGTTGAATAAATTCCTATATAAGACGAAATCCTCAGCTCTAATAAACATGTTTTTTTTGCGAAAGGTCAAACGTGTTCTTGGTTGAGGTTTCCGAGAGTTAGTTTCACTAGGTTAAAACAAAATAAAGAAAAAGAGTTGTCTTGAACGGATAAACACTTAGAAACCGTTATGTAGAAAATGTTCCACGTGGGATGACCTATCCACATGATGTTCCTTTCTAATCATCTAAACCTACGTCTACTATAGAGGAAAACTTATGCATTACAAAAAATAATTGCTGTAGACACTCGAGTCACTACAGCCCCGGCAAAAAGCAGTGTCGAAACGTTAGCACAACAATGATTTGGTGACAATTTCGGGTAGTCTTGAAAATAACGAATCACATCCGTCTGCTCCAGTATTCAGGACGTTATATTAATTACTTAGTTGCCTCTTTGAGACCATCTTTCCTCCACATGAGTCATCTGTGGTTCATAATCGTAATGAATCTGTGAGATTTGATGAATGACCGCAAACAAGATACTCGCAAACCGAGTTGTGTGAAGTTGTGTAAAGTTGTGTGCACTCCATCAGATGCTTCGTTCCTTCATCAAACACGTAGGCAATCACTTCTGTGAACGGCATCAAAAGATGAATGTTATATTGACGGCGGGAGATTCCGCCTTGACATAAGTATTTAAATTCATCCATTCACTAAAAACCCTATAAGAGTTTCCATATTCTAGTCGCTCTCATGCTTCTAGATTTGTATCCTGCTGTACTCGGCAAGTTGTGTAAACCAGTCTTTACAAAAAAGAAGAAAAATAACGACACCAGCCAATTTGCAATTGCAGAACCCATGCTAGAGTTGGTTGGATTGGTGGGAAGATGTGCGGCGATATCAAAATAACCCACACAAAAAGCCAATCTGTATCTTTCTCCAGACAAAAAAAGAAAACTAACCCACAACGAAATACTTTGGTTCGTGGTAGTCCATGAATTTATAATACACACAATAGTAAAAACTACTATTCGATGTATAACGATGGACGAAAGTAGACAAAAAGAAAAAAACAAAGAACGAAACAATTGACAGATGAATGGGGCTGATGGTGGATGGCGAGCAACGACTCACGCCCAACCACGTTTGAAGCAAAAGATGAACCGTAGCTAACCATCCCAAATAAACAGATTATCTGCGCGTGATGAACGCTTTTTCCTCCATCCGATCTACCGGTAAGGCTGCCGATATGAATTGCTCTCCACACGTGTAGTAAAGGATCGACAAGTGAGGATTGATATTAACATGTTTTTTTGATTATCGACAGCTTATCCGATCCAGTGTACCAAGCGTAGAGCCGAAAAAGCTGTTTCCTTCACTTGACAACGCATAAAAGCTATCTTTAGGAAGAGCTTGTTTGTTTCAAAGAGCACAGGGACTATAATAAACAAAGACTATTGTTGACGAGTACAGATACGATTCCTATTACGAGTTTTGACTTCACTTCAGAGTGCTTGCGGCAAAAACAAAACCCGATGAGAATTAGATGCGACAGTTATACGAAATTAGGTGTCGGAATTTAAATATTTAGGCCTGGTTACTTGCATAGTATCAGTGAGCTAAAGCTCTAAGTCGAAATCTAAAGAATCAAGATTTAATTCATGAACAGTAATTAGTTACAATGAACGCATAAAAACACAATTACTTGAACAGAAGCAGATTACAGCCACAAAAACTTAGCATGAAGTAGAATACATAAATCATTTATTCTTATCACAACCTTATGCACATTTCTTGATAAACATTTAACCAGTAACCTATAAGGAGCAAAACGTTAGTAGTACTTTCTAACAAAACACAGGGGGAGCTACCAACTACAAGGAATAAGATTAAATTTAAAGTTTAAGAACAAACGGATATACTTATACAGCAGCGGAAACGGAAGATGATTATACAACATGTCAAGAACATGCTATACAAGATGTGAATACCACTTCCTGGGCGAACGATTGAAGTGATTCTACAAAAAAAAAAGATGAATATCATTTCATCACCATTGACTACCCATGAGCGATAAACTCTAGAATAACTAGTGCAAATAATTACAAGTATACCTTCTTGTAATTCATTATAACAATTTGAATCACAAAAGAAAACCAAAAAATTTACCACATACTCTTAAATAATACAAACCTTATCGATAAACTGACAAAGGCAAAGCTGCTTGGGACAATGCTTCGGGTTGAATTCACTTACACCAAGTGAAGGGCGACTCGGGAAAATAATGCGATACTGAAGTAAAATGGCTCTATATTTAACGTTTTCAAGGCATGTAATGGATTAAAGAAGCAATAATATGAAGACAAGACAAACCCTCGCGCTGCTTTTTACATAATCTTGACTGTATTTGAGGACAAGTTGACGTGCCTTTTCTTCAATCTGAAAGAGAAAATTGGTAAACACAGTTATAATGATCAACAACGAATAATAAATGAAAAAATATTACTGGTATACTTAGTATTGACGCTTACCTCCTTCTTTGTCATTTCTTTAGCTGGTGCGGTGTGAGCTTCGCCTCCGAATACGACTGCTCCTCCGCTAGCTTCAACTCGAATAAGACGCTCAATATCTGGAAGACAATCCTCCAGTCGGAACCACATTATATGTATCTGAAAAAGTTGAAACCTATTCTGATAAAAGAATAAAAGACAGTATGTTCGTGATAAGCCTTTGGTACTATTTGCAATCATATAATTAGCTAATTCTTCTCAGAAAGTCAATAAACATTCTCACTCGAAGCTCTCTAGTTAATAAGTAAAGGATGGAAAGTACCTAAGAAATAAGAAATGTTTTCATAATAAAGAACATCAAGCTACTACAATCGGCACACCTTCCTTTGTTTCAACTAGTTAACCTCGTAATCAAATCCATAGCGGCGTGAAAACATCTCAAAATAATTTACTGGAGATAGCAAGTTTACGCACACATTGTGCGCATTTAGAAGTGCAATATGCCACAAAAATCTGCCTTTCTGCTCTGATAGAACCACTCGGTTTTAATTGCAGATATGACTGTGTCAGGAAAGCACAGTGCTGCCGAATTCGGTTTAAAAAACATTCAATCGTTTTCTTTTTGTTTTTTTTTCAGGATGAATGCATAGCTAATCGTAAACAATATATGCGGTGAACGCACAGCTATTAACTCCATTATGAAAAAATTCAATGAACATGGCTCCGCAGAAATATACAAAATGGTTCCTAGCAACCTAGAAACTGGGTAAATGGTCACCGCACCATCAAAGGCAGTGCTATTACATTGACAAAATATATATATATATATACATATATATATATATATATACATATATATATATATATGAAGCAAGTCACAGATCACGAGATTGTGCTCTTTTTGTAAGGAATGGTACCCACTGCATTACAAACGATAGGGAATTTACGAGTCCAGAAAATTAACAGAGTAATACCTACTTGATCAACTTTTTATATCTTGCATCTGATTGAGAGCTATCAATTGTGTCCTATTGCACGAAGTGAAATGCGTACTTAGAGAACGCCTACCACAACTTTATGGCAGCTCAATTGTCCTTTGTCTTCAACACCAGCCATTATATTGTTTTTAATGAGCACTTCATTAGCTGACTGAACACAATGTCGTAGTCCAACCCGAATCTGAAAGGCATAAGATTACTAAGCTGCACACATTTATTTTTAGTAAATTCTACCACTGAACAAGAAAATCAGCGGGACATCTCAAGTCTTGACACATAAACTAAATGAGTGGGAGCCGTATGAATGTATCTATTACAACATAAAGGATAAAACTCTCGGTGATGATCAATACCTGAGGTAAGCGCCATGCATTAGACTTCATTAAGAATCGTTAGAAGTGACTGAAAGCAATATCTGGCCTTTACAATGACTTGCGGTGCCCTACCGATGTATCGAGCCAGTGCTGCTATCCTCCCAGACAATTCTGGTTCCAATTTGCCGACCCTAGCGGGATGGAAGGTTTGGTGAACCATGGGAGCGGAGATCGATCATCCCATGTGTATTACATAGCGCTTCCAATCACTGCGCCACGCGCGCCCTACTGTTGTAACGTACTAATGAAATTTATAATACTGATGTATGGAAGATAATAAGCAGATACTTACCAATGAGACAATAGGTAGATACCTACTACCATTTCGTTACAAGAAAAGCTTACAAAAGAGCTATTAATAAAACTTTTTCGATCACCTGTTTCCGAATTACGGCACATGCAATAATACCAGCAAAGAGCATGACACACCAAAAAAGACTGAACATCATCACAAGAACACCTCCCTCAGAATTAGAGAACAGCACAGCCAACAAAATTATCATGGACAGTGCCATCCAGAATGCTACCAAACGAGAATACAAAGACGAGAAACTGAAATAGGGAGACAGATAAAACCGAAAAGCACCAAAGAAATTTCCAAAAGCTTTAAAGTCTTCATAAATCCCAACCCTATGGTCTCTACGAATCTTCGTGCGCAGTATTACGTATAAGATAGCTTCTAAGCTATGATGGCCATACCTACAAACAGCATGAGAAAAATAGCACCATTCCTATGCTTTTTCTCCCGATAACCATCGCAAATGTACAAGGCTTGTTCTTATGCATGCAGAGCCAGAAAACTTTAGGTACTGAACCTAAAATCATCCTACTTGCAGACAACTTTGAAGATGTTTAAAGCACATCGCTCTACTCTTTCATACTGTGTTGGCTCTTATCGCATGTTACGTTTACTCAAACTTCATGTGCATTGTCCATAGTACCATGCAGATTAAACATTTGGAGATCTGAAGGACGACGAATTAGATTCATCACATATTCCGCTGTTTTTCCAAGGCCGCTATGGCCCAAAACCGTTTCCGCCTCACGTAGAACTCATTTTTAAAGCAAATACTGTTATGTAAATTCAACGCATTCAGTAGACACAATACGCTTAAGTCGTAAAAGACGAACATATTGGCGCGAACTGAGCAACAGACTTTAGGTGAAAACGGTTTCATATCGTAGGGTCCTATAGATAAGGGGATGAAATCCTCAGTAGGTACCTCCGAAACCTATAATCGTTTGTAATAAGCTCCATTGCAGTAATGAAATCCTCAGTAGGTACCTAAAATTACGGTCTTATATGAAATCGAAGACAGAACAAGTAAGCAAAACCTGTAACCTACGGAAAAGCATTCTGAAGTTAAAACTGAGGGTACTGCACATGGATTGTAGCGTGGTGGAACAATCCACGAGTACATGGTGTTCTCTGGGTAGATGGTAGCAACAATTTTACCGTTTACTGCAAAAGAGCAGTTTGTTTTGTTTAAACAAGTGGGACAAATAAAAACTTGATCGAGACCTAAATTAGTCCCTCCATGAGTCTGAATGCCATGAGGGCTTCTCCCATAGAATTCTTGCGACGCCTCCATAACAGGTGCTTGACCAAGTGTGGACGGATCTCAAAGGTTCAGAAATTAAAAGTAGACGAAAAACAAGAGAATTTTTTAGGTGTGATGCTCAAAGCAAGCATAATCTTCCATTACAGGAAAAAACGATTGGATTACTCGTATATAATGCTGAGATATTTGCAAAACTCCGGACCGCAGGTGTATGCGGTGGGGAACGTTGATGGGTGATTGCTGATGGCAAAAAGATCGATAGAACTACCTGAGAGACAGGCAAAGCGAAGGACCCGGATGGTGTGGTGGTGAAGTGCGCTGCTCCCCGGTAAGGACAATAGTCGGGGTTCGTTCTCCACCGCATACACCTGCGGTCCGGAGTTTTGCAAATATCTCAGCATTATATACGAGTTATATTTCGCAACATACCCTGCTATTAAAAAGAAAAAGGCAGTAAATAAAGGGGTTAAGATAACGATTGGATACTTCACCAAAGATATTTTCCATTCGCAGGCTTCAAAAAGCACTTATGCTAAGCCTCCACATGGGACCACAAGGAGATAACAGTTAAGCATTAAAAGTATATAGGGAAAATAATATGAAAAACAAGGACTTGAAGAAACACCAATGTGTTAAACGTGTGTGTGCAACAAAAGTTACTACTTGAACATTCGAATAGTTGAATGATCATTCACCACGAAATCCATAGAAGCCCAAAACAATGTCATTTGATTAGTAATTTACTTGTTCAGTAAGACTTTCCTTCCATATAGTCGTGAGAAACAAGTTAGGGCTTGTTCAGGTCGTCTCAGCTTGACTTTGGGATGAAAATGCCGACATGCTTCTCAGCTACGATGGACCAGCTGAGTGATCAACTCTAGTTGTAAATCACAGTTCGGCTCCAAACAACAACAACACCATCACCATCCGCCACAAGACGTTCTACCATGCGAAGAACTCAAACTCACAGTCCGTTTCGATACCTTTCACATCTTTTAAATGGTGTGTCATCATTTAAATCAAAACAATGGAAGGAATTCGAAATCATAACCTAATATGGACATTGTCTTTGAATCTGCTTTTTAGTCTCAAATATTAACGGTGATTTACGGCAGTAAAAAGACGACGATTGAACCAATAGTAGGGATATCAAGGCTGCGACAACTTTACCCTCTACTGTCCTCGACAGATGTGCGCTATACTACTTTATCAATGCCCTTCCAACAGTTCACGGCCTCATCGTGGCTTAGAGGTGTTCCTCAGCGTCGGACTACAATGTACAGCTAGGAGTTTCATCCACTCAGGAGGGTCTCACAAGCTGAAAACGAGCCCGGCGTTTCTATCAGGAAGCCCGGCCAAGAGTAAACCAATACCAGGACCCGCCATCGTACTGGTATCAAAGTCGCATGGTGGCAAATCTTCCTCTGATCCACAAAGTCAGCGACCGCTTGTGGTGGTGACGACCTGGGGCAGACTTTGGGTAGGCTGATCTCGGGACTCCAAGGAAACACACTGGCTTAATCAGCAAAACTCCCAAAAAATGGAGATTATGCTGAGGCCAGCACAACCAGTGTGGACGGGCCATCCAAGTATGTAAGTAAGTAAAATAAATAAATAAGGATAGAAAGGCAGAAAAAAGAATAGAAATAGTCATAACATAGAACAGATACGTTACCAGCAATAACTTCTTTCATCGGAAGAGAAGTGATCATATCTCTTTCAGCGTTTCCAAGTTCAGATTGCTCCTCTTTCACCAAATGACTTCGTCCGTTAGCAATCTCAGCACTTCCAAGAGATGGCTTGTGTTCTCCGTCAGATGTTGAATAGCCACCAATTGGAGATGTCATCGAAATTTCATCGAATCGAATCCAATTCGGCGGTCTACCAGTTCCATGTTCCGCTGCATACGATTCCATGAGCAAAAACTAAAGAATGAATAGTAGAAACGATAATCACAATAAGCAATTGGGGAAAGAAACATCTTCGGCAGAACTATAAGCAGACATCAAAAGCCCCCGACCAAAGCAAATATAATGGGATCAGAGGTAAACACAAAGGTAAAATCGCTCTTTTTACAGAGTCACCATTGTACAATTCAACGAAATACACATTATTCTACACAACATAAGGCAGCAAAACAGACGAGATCAACTGAATAATGTCCGACTGTTAGAAACGGTAATCACCAAGACCGTAATCGACATGATAAAGTAGTTGTACATGTATCTAATTAGTAAACATACACACACATACATATGAACACAATATCTTCAACAGACAAGTAGTGGCGTCATAGTTATACGTCGTTTTTGTGCTCGAGTGCGATAAAAATCGCATCGGACATCGGTCGCTTCGTAGCATACACAACACAATACTCGCCGATCGTCCGAACATGTGACGATATCAGTCGATATCGATCAAGTTCGACAATGTTGATTGATCAGTAAACATTAATCTACAATTGCAAAACAATTAGAAACAGCTACCGGAACAAATTATTCCAAACTGCTTGATCCAAGATCGAGGCCGTCAGTATCATAGAGCTAAATCAGCACCCTCTGCCCCATTCTTCTCTCGAAACTGTGCAGTTGTTTGCAGAATTCTCTAATTCATCAACTACAGGTAATAAACGAATTGTTCGAAAGATATCACTGTGTCAAAAGTTTCAAGTATAATCTATCATCATGCAAAATTTTGAACAGTCAATGACGTTTGAACCACGACGAGATTGTCATCCGGATAAACTGCTCTAAAACGAAAAAGGTACAAGCAACGCACTTTGGATGAAGGTCTTAGCAAGATTGTAACTAGAGCGCGCTACCATCCAATTTAGAACACTACTCTAAGTAAATACTTAAGTATAATATCTCTCTAGTGCTTCTCCTATTTTTTTGCAATATATTTGTTTCGTAATAGAATGCTATTACTCTTGCAGATATTTTTTCTTACAAGTTACTTTCTTCTTTTTAGATTAAATAAGCTGACTCTCCGACAAAATGGGGATCTTGATGTTACTAAACGGCGAGAAAATGTCCAATTTTAAAAATTTTGTAAAAACGCGTTTACTTTCGAATTTTGCTATATGAAACGCTTTGCAAGCTTTCTACATTCATATAAACTCTTGAGCGAAAACAAAACTACTATTGTACCATGATTATAGAAACAGCTGAAGGCCTGAACTAACTGAGGACCACATGACGAAGATTTCTGGTCTTCCAGAAATGAATGAAGTTATTTCTATCCTGGAATGCTCAAATGAAGGAATATCGCTAGGATCTCTGGCTACATCACCAGTGCTAGTGTTATATGTTTCCCCTAAGTTCCTAATAACGCGTGATTAACCATAACTACTTCGATCTGAATAGTTCTAAATTCCACCGTCCGCAGTACACCCTCACCTCTATGACACCGCAGAATTACCATCTGACGACCTCATGAAGATTGTACATGTTAGATCAGTTCACTACCATTCCAGAAGGTCTCCTGTCAGCGTTTACGTAAGACCGAACTACCGTCATCTCCGTGCAAAGTTATTCTGTTCATAAAAGGAATGAATCCACAAGCTCCAATAAAAAAATCCGAAACCACAACAAGTTGAGACTTTTCCTTCTTTTGACTAACATGGTGGTATTCCGGATGACATGGATGAAAAATTTTATTAATTTAGCACTTTTAGCGCCTTCACCACTTAGCTAAGAATGTCGGGAGTTTGGAGTTCATCAAGACACTCCCGTTTCCACAACTATGTGTATTACGCGACAGCGAACACAGAAAAGCCGAGTGCGACTATTAACATCTGGACGAGTTCTAGAGAAAAAAAGCTGCAAAACTGGAAAACGCAACACTTTGCTGGGACAGAGGAGTTGCTGAATTTCAGGACGATTGAGAAAATAATTCGCGAGTTACTTATGCTGAGATTACTTCAACTATCACCTCACTTCATACCATCTCACTATTCCATCCCCAGAAGATTGTACCTGTAGACATTCCCGTTATCCCTTCTGAAAACACTAAACCGACTTTAGAGTTAACCGACTCAGACGTTGCTAACGGTTTGCAAGGTTTCTAGGTATAGAGAATAAAAGAAAAAAAAGATAAAGCATTTGACTTTGATTAACTCTCAAGGGATCTGCCGTGCATTCAACTTCATCAAGAATGGTAGAAGTGATTTGATGCATTCCAAGATAAGAGAGAAGAGAACGAATCATTTGTGCTTGGAAAAGTGGAGAAATACCAACACGTCATCGATAGCTTCGATGATGCCAAGTGTTTGCTTCAAGCGTCCCATTTGAGTCATCATATTCGACCAAGAACTGTCACGAAGTTAGTAAGATGACAAAAATATGCCAGTTCTATAAGTTACGGAATTCACTGGATTTTTCGTGACCATAGGTTGCTGTTATGTCATACATTCACCGCTGTTAAAAAATCCTTGTGACGAAACCTCTCATCGGGTCACAAATAGTCGCTAAGACCCTACACATTAGCCAAAAAATCTTTCAAGAGTAAGTTCACGACCACAATCCTGTCATTCTACCGTAAAGTTATTATGAATTTAGAGAGAGCAGCCTTTGAGAAAGTGTTCTATCACGCAAAGATTGTTTAACACCATTAAAGGGAAGCTGGTGCGGAAAAATCTGCGAGTGAAATTAATGACTGGTAGCCACACTAAACTTGAGCACGTTGATGAAACTGTCCTCATAGCACT